CCAAATATCGCTTTTATTATTTTCTTTAACTTCACCTCTACTGTTAATCTCATTTAACAGTAGAAAGCAATAGTTAACAAAAAAAAACCAAAAATCAAAAAAAAAGATCAATTCAAACAGTAATTCTTTATGTTTCCTCTAAAATTTACTTTTACTTTTTATATTTTACTGCTAAATTTACTTTAAAGCTCTTCAGTAACAACAATAATGGAAGACAAAATCAACGCTAGTATTTCGCTTTTTTTTTTTTCTTGTTGCTTACAGTACTCAACTAACAGTTCATCACCATCGTCGTTATCGTCGACTTCATTGCTTATAAAACTGTAAAAGAAATATGTGCCACTGATTATTAGTAAGAAGCAATAGAAATAGTTTAAAAAAAGGTTTTTTTTTAGGCAAGAAAACAAGACAAAAGACACTTTACTGTTTTCCGATAAATAATGTAAAATAGCAACGAATACAGCAGCACAAAAAAAAAAAAAAAAGTCAACTATGATTAGTCAGTTATTAACCTTTACTTGATGCATTTAACTTTACCAAATAAATTGAATAACGAATCAAAGATCAGTGTTTAAAATTGCAAAAAAAAAAAATATCAAGGTAAAAAAAAATTTTTTTTATTTTACAAAATTGTATGAGAGATATTGGAATGAAGAGAATGATTAATGGAAAGTCCATTAGGCTTATATAATGTTCAATAAAGAAAAAACTTGTTAAATTGATCGAAAAACTGTTATTCAAAACTTGTAGGTAAATATCTTTCTTTTTTTTTTGCTGCTGCTGCTGTTATACTTATGTTTGACAATCAATGATTCATAACTGAGAACAACGTTTAACATCCCTGAAAAGATACTGACGTTGTTGGAAATGATTGTACTCTGGCTGTCATTACTTACACTGTTACTATTAATAAATAAAAAACAAAGCAAAAAAAAAACAACAAAAATTTGCTGTTTTTAAAGCACTCTGAACAAATAGTTATATTTGAAAAAAAGAAAAAAAAAAAA